GATTAGACATACATGATTGACTCTAGCTCGGGCCAAGTTCAGTTTTTTTTAAGTCAAATTTTTAAGATTCTATCTTCCAACACTCATAATAAATCATGACTAATTGGAATTAACTGAAAGGGATATAGTCAGTTCTTTTACGAACAAAATCAAAATTTTAGCAATGAAAAATAAATGAAGAGCTTGTGCGTCTGAGCCAGACTGTCTGAATTCAAATCATTGTACTTCAGCTGGCAGCTCTGGCATTGCACAAGTTCCCAAATCTCTCCATACCTCAATTTCTTCTCTAAGATGAGGATAAAAATGGTATGCCCATCTTTGTTTTTTTTTAATTGACGTATAGTTGATTTACAGTGTTGTGTTAGTTTCAGTGATTCAGTGATTCAGTGATTCAGTCATATATATATATATATATATATATGTACATATATTTCTATATTACTTTGTATATTATATATATATATATTATTTTAAAGATTTTTTTCCATTATATGTTATTACAAGATATTGAGTGTAGTTCTCTGTGCTATACAGTAGGTCCTTGTTTATCTTTTTTATATACAGTAGTGTGTATCTATTAATCCCAAACTCCTAATTTATCCTTTTAGTTTTTTAGGAGGATTGAATGAGTTAATACCTATAAATGCTTTAAAATTGTTTTTACCATCATAAGCTATAATTGTGTTTTGTTCATTCATTCATTCATTCATTCATTCATTGCTTTCTTTCAATAAATATTTATTGACTGCCTTTTTATGCCAAGCATAAGTGCAAGGATATAGAAATGGACAAAACCGATGAAGGATTGTTAAGTTTATTATTATTATTATTCCAAGTCATTATGGGATGTCTCATGAACCACTCAGCACATAATGGACATCTATTATCCGCCCCATCTCCTAGCACAAAATAGCGGCTCAATAAATGTTGATGGAGGGAAGTTCAAATACATGAGTCATTGCAACATAGAATAACAATCTGGAATTGCAATAAGGATTTGGAATTGGGAGATGCAATGTCAAGTCCCAGTTTTACTGAAATTTCCTAATCTAAAAACCTAGAAAGCTATACCATGAAACCACTAAGATCCCTTTTGACTATGATTCTAGAAAGTAACTGAAATGATGCACTATTTTTTGACTGGTTATAATTCTATTTTTCTTAAAATAAATAAACTTCTAATTTTACTCTAGCTTTAAATCTACAGAAAAGGTACAAAACACAACAGACGGTTCCTGTATATGCTCTCAGTTTCCCTTATTATTAACATCTCACGTTACTATGGTGTATTTGTCAAAGCTAATGAACAAATATTGCTATATTATTACCTGGAGTCCATACTTCATTCTGATTTCATAAGTTTATACCTAAAGATTTTATTGTTTTCTTTTTATTTTTTTAAATTATGTAAGTTTAAGGTAAACAGCATTACAATTCAACATCTGTATACACTACAGAGTGATCACCAGCATAAGTCTAGTTACCACCCATCACCATATAGTTGACCCCCTTTACCCATTTTGCGAACCTCCACCCCCCTTCCCCTGTGGTAACAACTAATCTAATCTCTGTATCTGTGAGTTTGGTTTTGTTTTCTTTTGTTTGTTCCTCTGTTCTGGTTTTTTAGATTCCACCTAGGAGTGAAATAATATGGTATTTGTCTTTCTTCATCTGACTGCTACAATTGTGTGTACGTACCACATCTTTTTCTGAATTTAATTTCTTATTTTATAATTGCAGTTTAGTTGATTTACAATGTTGTGTTAGTTTCCTTATGTTCTTTTTTTTTTTTTGCCCCAGGATCCTAACCAGGACACCACATTATATTTAGTAATCCTGTTTCCTTAGACTTGTCTGGACTGTGACAGTTTTTCAGACTTTTCTTGTTTTGATGACCTTAATATTTTTGAGGACTCTTGGTCAGGAATTTTGTAGAATGTCCTTAAATTTAGGTTTGTTTATGTTTTTCTCATGGTTAGACAGGGGTTATGAGTTTTAGGAGGAAGATCACAGAGGTAATTCTCATCACATCCTAGCAAGAGTATATGCTATTAACATGATCAATGATATAAAATTTTATTTTAATGACAGGATAGGTGTTATATATAATTGGTAATTTAATGTACCATACTAAGGAAAATATCTTTGCTATATGTAATTTTCTACGCAAAGTACAGTCATCCTTATTCGCGCGAGATTGGTTCCAGAACCCCTGTGGTTGCCAAAATCTATGGATGCTCAAGTCCCTTATATAAAATGATGTAGTATTTGCATATAACCTACACACATCCTCCCGTTTACCTTAAATCATCTCTGAATTACTTACAATACTTAATACAATGTAAACATTATGTAACTAGTTGCAAATACAAAGTAAATGCTATGTAAATAGTTGCCTACCCACAATAAATTCAGGTTTTGTTTTTTGGAAGTTTCTGGGAGTTTTTAAAAAAATATATTCGATCCTTGGTTGGTTGAATCCGCAGATGTAGAACCCCCAGATACCAAGGGCCAACTAAATGAAATAGTTGATTCTTTTGTGGCATAATCTTAAAATATATTTACTTTACTTAAAAAAAAAAAGTCCTCTTTACTACTGGCAAATGAAGTGTAAGTGAAAAATTCTTGTCTTGTTATAAATTAATAGTACGCTTATCTTTGTGGACTCAAGATCTACATATTAAATAGAACTGATCATAAAAACAATTGAGTGGTTTTAGCCCACTATTCTTTGTGACCTTACTATGGAGGTTCATTATTATGGCCAAGAGCATCATTCACAATACATGTTTCCCCAAATCCCTAATTTCTTAATTCCATGAAACACTGTGTCCTGACTCACCATATACTACTTGTGTGAACTTTGGAAATTTCCTTAATGTCTGAAATTTCTTCATTTTCAAAAGTATGTATGACGGTTAAATGAAATTACATATATAAAACACTTAACAAATGAACTGGCCATTTGCTATTTGTTCACAGACACTCATGCACATGCTTTCAAAGAATAATTTCCAGTTTGCTGGGAGCAATGATGCGTACTGGACCATCTCAAGTTGGTTGTTGTGTTTTATGCCATATCTAGATTCTCAGAAATATTTTCCAGCAATTACCTGATATTTTAATGTTGGTATCTTAGTAGGCAAGTAAACACTAATCAGGAAGTGGGCCTCTCAGTGTTCAAGGAAATAAATGTATTCTGGTGGCAAAATTCAGTGTTAGGATAATTTTATTTAGTTTTCTCTAGCCATGAGAGAGACTAGTCATGGCACTATGTTTCTTTTTTTTTTCCTAACATGGCTGGAGGATATTCTCCACGACACTGCAGGGGATTTACTTAATGGTCTTACAGCTAAATAAGTGATTAAAAGTATAGGAAGTGTCAGGCAAAGGGAAGGGCCAGATGAACTGTTTTATACAATAGCCCTCAACATGAATCTTAAAAAGAATATATATATATATATATATATATATATACACATATATAAAAGTATATATTATATGTATACATATATATATAACTGAATCACTTTGCTGTACACCTGAAGCATTGTAAATCAACTATATTTCAATAAAATTTTAAAAATGAAAATTAATTAATTAATTTAAAAAAAAAGAGCCCATTTCTCTTCTGATTGACTAGTGCGTCTGATGCCATATTTGGGAAAGAAGCCATAAGCAACCTCACCCATATTCCCACCTCTCTCTCTGGATCAAAGGGAAAATCCAAGTTACAAAGCATCTTGATAACATAAACTAAAAAGAGTAAGCGTTTATGAGGACAACACTTCATTCCAGGTAGACCACTGTCCTTTACAGCCACTGCCCACTCCATTTATCATGGACTTTACAGTGTGGCACTGGATAGTGACCACAGCAGCATATGGAATGAGAGACAATTCCAAGAGCAGCTGTGGCTGGAGAGACAGCCTGGGAATAGTTTGAATAAGAGGTTAAGAACTAGTCAGCCGGGAGGCAGCAAAAAGTAACATAAAAATAGAAAGCACAGGGCATAGGCCTCATTTGCAATTCATTGTTGGGTATGGCAGACATTGCTGACATCGTGTTAACTAGCCTGTTTGGGTTGGGAGCTGTGTACACCCGAGTGAAGTTAGGACAAGGTACTCTTACTTTGGAGGTTGACCTCTCCAGCTTTAGAATCAGACTTCAGAGGCAGAAGGGTTGTAGGGTTACAGCGCATCAACACTTTCTTGGTCATCAAGCTCTTGAAAGCTGTGACATTAACATGGTATGACCAGCCTGTGAATTCCTTGTAAAGAGTGGCCGTTGATGTTTGAATACTTTTGTGTCACAAGCTCCCTGAACACAGCCTGGTGCAGAGCGTACATTTAATAAATATGCTAGATTAGAATTCATCTTATTTGTATATGGATGATTTTTGTACCTGTCCAATATACAACTCTGTAAATAAGGCAATGGTTTTCTAAACCTTTGATCTGGACAAAGCGATATGATATCAGGGTTCTTTTTTTTTTTCTATATTTTGCACAAGCATACACAGGACGATCAGTACCTATTTTACCTATTTTTTAATTATAGAAAGAGATGTAGAAGGAAAATAGAAAGACAAGTAGTAAAGAAAAATTAAAATATCTTAAAAGCATTTATCCTCCATTTTATTTTTTTAAAGCCATCCTTGTAGAAATATACAAAGCACAATGCACTGTAACGATTATTTTACTAAGGCCATATGTTAACAAGAGAAATTTGTGAATATGTTTATTTACCCCATGGAAAAACGTTAAAGCCTATTTGTATATATCTTCTAGAATTGTCTGAATGTGTTATATCAATAGACAAAACTATAAGTGGTCATCTATGTACATTTCCAAAGGAGATGATTGACACATAGTTGACAAGAAGCAATTGCTAGCTGTTCTTATCATTATTAGCAGAATGTAATATTAGTGATACACTTTCGAATAGGGAAAGGTAATACCACTGTTTTTGCCTTTTCTTCTATACTACTTTGACTGCAGACAGTACCACAGGGACACCAGCAATATCAACGACGACAACTGTGGAAACTCGCAAAAGCAGCGTTATGACAACTGAGATCACTTCTAAAGTGGAGAAAAGCCCCACGACAGCCACCGGCAATAGCTCCTGTCCTTCCACAGAGACTGAGGAAGAAAAGGCAAAACGGCTGCTTTACTGTTCTCTATGCAAGGTTGCTGTCAACTCCACCTCACAGCTGGAGGCGCACAACAGTGGTGAGATGCAGCGATTTATTTTCTGTCTCAACAGCTCTGCAATTATCTTCCTCTGAATAAATTAGATCTTTTGCAGCAGGGGACAGAGGGGGAGGCAGAAAACTGGCAATTATTACATGGAATTCATTAACCATTAAAAAGTAAAAATGACAAGCAAAGTGTCATTTACAGGGGGCAAGGAAGGGTTTCCAGGGCTCCCTTGCCATGCTGTATATGTGTTTCTGTGTATGTGTTTTATAAACATTAAGAGAGACAGTAAAATATAATTCTGAAGTGTCAGCTTTGCATTTATATGATTTCTAGATTGCTGTGTTACTTCCACACATTTGCTTGTAACTGAAATTTTCTGAAGTTGCACCAAAAGTATAGTTGCAAAAGTTGGTTGCATAACTCCATTCACTTTTGGTTAAAAACCTCCCTATTATGGTTTTTATGGCAAATAATGTTGTTTGGGCTAAATCTATATGAGCTGGAAAATTAAACTTAAGAAAATACTTCTTAGAGGCAGCCATGATGTCTACATATAATATTTTATTTATTTTTTCTGACAACGTAAAGATACTATTCCTTTGTTTTGACTGAGGCTCAGAGAAGACACATGACCAGTTAGGTGACAGAGCCATTATTCAAACCCAGGTCTCTCTAACTAACACTAAACTTTCATATAGCATAACAGAAAATACTGGTAATCCAGGATGTAATTCTCTCCTGATATATTTTGATTCCATCTCCCTGCTCTTTCTATACATATATGTTTATATCTATATCTATATTTAAAGATGTTATATATATATATATATATCTAAACCTATCTAACTAGATCCATATATAGAGTATATCTATATCGATTTAAATAGATAAAGATTTTATTGTTTTATTTGTTTATTTATTTATTTATATCCTGCCTGAGATTTTAGCCAGCCCTTTGTCCCAAGATCAGTTTTTCTCTAAAAGACTGAGTTCATTGCGAGAACTCTGTCAGCAATTACAATTGAAAAAGAATCATTTGTGAATCATACCCTGAGTTAATAGTGCAGCTGTGTGCTGATGGCGTCATCGACCAATCATTGTGCTGCACGCGTAATATTCAAGTACTGACTTCAAGACTCTAAGGGGGTAATTGCAGAAGGAGGACAATTCCTTCCGCACACATCCTTGTCCTGCAGGCAGCATGAGTTATAGTCAGGGAGAGTTCATGAGTTCAGGGGCTGGGAGACACAGAACAGCATCTGGCCCCAAGTGAGAATCTGTACCATTCAGATTTGCCCTCTGTTTACTCCTGCGAATACGTTCTTCCTGAATGTGAGATCACTGGGAGAGCATGAGCATCATTGGAAATCCATTTACTTTTCCCCCCATAGTGACAGAGAAACACATTCATTTTGAGGGAGGATCTATTTTGACAGATAAACCATAGCCTTTGAGGTTGGAGTTAATTTACGAAGAACTTGGATGTCCTTTCTGAATTCTGATCAGAAACATCTGATTAGGAGGCAAAGAAGGGATGACTTATTGTTTACATCACATCAGGTCAACATTTTCCATATTACAGTTCTATGGTCATCTCTGGTTCGTGTGTAAGAATTGCCGTTGGAGCTTTATGTATGTATGTATATATATATATATATATATATATATATATATATATATATTATATGAATGTAATATATATCCATATGTTTATATATAAATGCATCTATATTTATTTAAATACAAATACACACACACACACACACACACACACACACATATATATATATATATATATATATATATATCCTACATCCTGGGATTCTGATTTATTATATATCCAGGGCCTGGGAAGCTATAGTGTTTGGGAAAAGAAAAAAAAAACAAAACCAAAACCTGGCAAGTGTTTTGCAGGCAGAGCTGAGAACTAGTGTAACCATCTCACCTGGGAGTTTAAGACTTGCTTTTGGTTGTCACCCTTACTTGAATCCCTTTCTAAGGGTGTCCCCTCCAAGCCTTCAGCCCAGTCAGGGGACTGCGGCCACTCCCCTTCCCTCCAAGGTGCTGCTTGGGGTTCTCGGTTCCTGTATTTCCCTTCCTGCGTCACAGATCTTCCCCTCAGGGTATGATGTTGGTAAACCTGCGGGGTGATTGTAGAGGGCAAGGCTCTGCATATCTCCCTCTCCTGTCAGGAGTAGGAATGGTCCTTGTAAGTCTCATCATAGGATTATTGTGGTGGGTTCTAGTTTGGGTTCCATGAGAAGCAGACTCCGAGACAAGGATGTCAGGGCAAATAGTTTTTAGGGAGATGAAGGGACCAGGTTAGTGGAGTTGGGAAAGGAGATAGGGCAGGGAAGGCGGCCAGCACAGCCAGCTACCAACGTGGGCAAACTGGACCTTACCCACCAAAGCCGGTCCCCCGCCCAGCTTCCACGCTTTTACCCTTAAAACCTTCAAGTGATCACCTAGAATGACAGAACTAAATTAACTCAAATTCTGTGTCTTTATCTTTACAATCTCAGCACTATCATTGTTCATTTATAATCCGCTGTTTTCATGAAACATAGGTAGTAACACAAGGGCATGAATTGCAGCCTTTGTGAGCTCAAAGGATTTCGAACCGCTATGAAATGATTAGTTAAACTAAAGCTTGTAACCGAATTTGTGTGTTTCTGGGGATGACCGTATAATGGAGAGTTCTACAAAATAATTTCCATGGAGCAGATGATGTGCTAATTTAGTATATACAAAATCTCAACAGTAACCACCTCCATTGTTTAGAATATAGACCAATGAAATATTCTTTAGGGAAGAGTCTTTATCACTGACATTATTTAGAGTTATCAGATCATGGCGCTGGTGGAAAGAGGACCCCCCCCCTTTTTTTTTTTTTTTTTTTTTTGCGGTACGCGGACCTCTCGCTGTTGTGGCCTCTCCCATTGCGGAGCACAGCCTCCGGACGCGCAGGCTCAGCGGCCATGGCTCACGGGCCCAGCCGCTCTGCGGCATATGGGATCTTCCCGGACCAGGGCACAAACCCGTATCCCCTGCATCGGCAGGCAGACTCTCAACCACTGCGCCACCAGGGAAGCCCCAGCGGACCCTCTTTGTATAGTCCATTTAATCATTGTTCTCTAATTCTCTTTAAGGATCCCCTTCCTAGCTATGCACAGGGCAGACCACAATCACCACCCCACCCACTGCATCCTCCACTCACCCCAACCCTGTCAATATAACTTTACAAGACTTCTCCAATTACTTCTTAGAGCCAGATATTAGGAAAATACTGTTAAGATTGGGCTGTGTTTTTCAGGAAACCAAGTTTGAATATCAATTTTGCTCAGAAGCAACCAGGATGCAGCATGGGGAGATGTGTCCTTTGCATTTAAATTGTAATTCTAAGTGCTTCTCTTCTTTATCCTTTTAGAAATACATCATAGACATGGAATCAGGGCTATAGCACCAAGAGGAGAGTTATGCACTTATGGTCTGTTCATGGGAAGCCAGCCACCTTCAAAACATGTTTTTCTCCTAATCTTGGAAAATGCATTAAAAAAAAAATTTTATTGAAGTATAGTTGATTGACAATGTTGTGTTAGTTTCAGGTGTGCAGCAAAAGTGACTCAGTTATACATATATATGTATCCATTCTTTTTCAGATTATTTTCCCATATTGGTTATTACAGAATATTGAGTAGAGTTCCCTGTGCGATACACTAGGTCCTTATTGGTTATCTGTTTTATTTATAGTGATGTGTATATGTCAATCCCAATCTCCTAATTTCCCTTCCCTTGCCGTTCCCCCTTTGGTAACCATTAAGTTTGTTTTCAAAATCTATGAGTCTTTCTGTTTTGTAAATAACTACATTTGTATCATTTTTAAAAAATTAGATTCCACATGTGATATCATATATTTGTCTTTCTCTGTCTGACTTACTTCATGTGATTCACAAAACAGTCTAAGAGTGCTTGAAACACACTGAGAAGACATACTCTTTTCGAGAGATCTGGAAGACTCCTTTTATTTGTGTGTTATAGACATGTATTATAAAAGATATGTTTTGTCTTTTTCTTTAAAGAAATTCCCCCCAAATATCCTACTAGGTAATGCTTTGCTTAGCTATTTTTGATGATTTTCTCTATATAATTGAGAAAAACTTTGGAATGTTTTATAATTAGCCCTCATTACTAATTTGGGCAGATTTTTCTGGTAATGACTTAAAGTGGTAACATTTGATCATTTTCACTAAGCTCATTCCAGCTCTTCTATCCCTAC